CTTTCCAAGCGGACTCGCAAGAATCTCAACATATGAAACGTACGAATTAATGAGGCGGAGAATTCATTCTGTCTAGTTGTGGTCATTGATGCCTCTAACATTCACTCCTCGTGTGGACTCCGAAGCGAAGAATCCCTTTCTGCCGGACGACCCGAAGATCCTCCTGCGAGAAGGCCGTTTCGCCAAAGTCCCCTTCATGACCGGAGTCACTCGAGAGGAAGGGATCATGTTCATTTATCGTAAGCAGAATTTTCTTATAACTATATCTCCTTCTCCCCCTTTTACTCCCACTTCTCGAAACAAAAATATTCCTGACATTCTTAAACTTTTATCACGTTTCAGCTGCCTTGTTGAACGAGACTCTGTTACCTGAGATAGACGGAAACTGGGACTTTTACTGCCCTCGAATATTCCTTGGGAAGACCGAGGACACCGGGGACTACTGCAGCCGTCTCAGGAAACAGTACTTAGGGGATCAACCCATCAACCGCCACAATCGATACGAACTCGTCAGGGTAAACAGAGTTTCATCTGGCCTTTCTTCTCGGGACCGGAATGAAGAGGTTAAAAAAGTGCAAATTTATAATCAGATGACTGGAGACCAAATGATGAATGTGGGGGCCCTCGAAACCGTGAAGGCCCAGAGCCACTTCGTCCCGACGTACCTCTACTCCTTCGAGTACGAGGGAAGCCGCGGGTTTATGGACTTCATCAGGTCCATGTTAGTCATGTCGCTTCCGGAGGAAGCCAGGGACTCTGTTCCGAAGATCCACGGTGAGATATTCATAACATATGATCATATCATCCTTATCTTACTTTTTATGAAGGTACCGGGCAACACGTTTGCGAAGATGAAATTTCCTTCAGCTGCGTCGAAAGAATTATTTATTATCGCTGATTCTTCAAACTGAACAGACACCTTTTCTAAATTGGATTAATAGGATCGCATAAGTGGGAGTTGAAGGTAACTTTTTCCACGAAAATAACAGTACTGTGATACTTTGTATAATTGCTTTAAAGGAGATATTCAAGTGGAAATTTGCGGAAATGAAGTCAGATTGCGTGGAACCGGATGAAGATTTCCGCATTTGCAATTAGAGGGTATTCCGTGAATGATTTATGATCGATGAAATAGAGAGCGAAATGTAGCACACATTTCACAACAAACCATCGATTAATAAAGCGGAAATGGAGTGGTTCATAATAGACAATCTACTAATCTAATGAGTCTATGTGAGGCCGCTTCTCATCCTGGACGGCATGACCCCTGATCTTCAAACTTGATCCTTATGCTTCCTTAGGGTGCGGCATCAGGACAAAGGAGTTTGGTGGTACTGTGACCGATGGATCACAGGATCAAAAGTAAAAGGTTCAGCATTTTTGAAGGCATTCTCTCTGTCGGGGATGCACCTCCCCTGCCGATCGGATCCCAGCGAAACCGGTATTGAGGGAAAGCTTGAATTCTCAGGAAGTTCCACGTAACATTTTCGTCACGTTGCGACTAAAACTCTGCAAGCTACGACCCAGAAACCGTCGCAAATA